CTAACTACCTGCCCATAGGTGGGTCAAAGTACATTATCCCCATCTTTTATCTCGTCATCCTGTCTCTGGGCTTTCTTATGCCTTTCATCCTTTCTGCTTCTACACACATCTCATCAGAGTACCTCTCATGCAAAAACTGTTGGCCAAGCACAGACCCCACTTCAGAATGCATATAAGCCATGAGAACAAAGTTGGGAAACCTCAGCAGTGGGTGTTCAGCCACTGAGCATGTACTAGAAGCCATGAAATATGAGAATAGTGGCTATGGGCTCAAAGGCAAGAGGGTTTTTTATTATATTGGCTATAATATGAAAAGGTCCAAAACCTTACAGCACTCGTGTGAAGACAGCAATGTGGAACATGATCCTATCCCAAGCTGATTTTGAAAACTGGATATTTAGAAGTTAGATAGGAACTTACACAGCCTTAAAAGATGATGGTTTAGGTTTCATTAGCCAGAAGGTAGTCAGTGGCAGGAAATATATCTTACAAATTCCAACAGTTGACAGATGCAGTCTAGAGAAATTATCATCTGCTTTTCAGTAGATAAGCTGTCCTGGTTTTATTGTATCGGCAATATATATTAAGGAGTCATTTAGTCCAATGGAAGATGGAGAGTAGGTGTGATCTGTCTTGACACTGATGTTGTGAATCCAATACAGGAACTGACCCTGTTCATTTAGTTAAAGTTTTTTAAGTGTGTCACTTAGTGCCACATCGAAGGGCTTATTCCTGCGAAATGTGAGCCAGTGATACTGACATTGGCTTGAAGCTGTAGAAAACCAGAAGAGGGATGGGAGTGATAGCTCCCACTGTTGCTACTGGAATTGTTCCCATACTGCACTGAACACAGTGGCGTTACATGTTTGCACTAAAGGGCTTTCTGGATAAGACAGAAAAATTGTTTTCTTAATCTAGGATAGATATTTCTGTGTACGATAAAAAACTTACAGGGGATATGATATATAAGATAAAGTCATCATTTTTAAGGCCAGCTGTTACAGGATACAAGCAAGGAGAATTTGCTTATTGCGACTTTTCACAGTAAATTGAAGGAAATACATTTTCTTCTGTTTGCTAAGCACAAGTACATGATCAGATTGTAGTGTTACAATACAGTTCAGTCAATCTGCTGTCTAAGGAACTAACAGGAGCAGCACTGTTTCCACTCCCCTATATCTGGGCTGCTTCCCTTCTGCTGGCTCACATGTTTCTGACTTTGTAGTTCAAGGAGTGAAATCAGCAGTAAACTAACTCTACAAAAGTTGTCATTATTTCTCTTCCCATTTATTTCTCTGAAGCAATTTAGCAGGTCCAGAAAAAAGATGGGTCAGGAACATAGCCTGCACAGCACTGGACTAGATCTGCTGCGGCTGTTATTATGGCTTAGTGAATACACAGCTACTCATTAGAACGTGACAATTCAATCATGACACTCAACTATAACTTGCTATCAAGGAAATGTATCCACTACTACAAATAAAGACATCCAAAATATTGCAGCAGCGCGAGCCTGGTTTCCCACACCAGACCTAGTGTGGGTATGGCAAGTGAAAATAAATCCTTAAATAAGTGGAGGTAAACTGCTTTAATTTATGTGGTAATTTTAATGTTAGTTTCAGGTTTACGCAATGCACTAGATGCAACAGAAAGTCTTTTGAAGAAATTACTACAAAGCATCTATCAGTGCTTTTGCTATACCTCAATGATATTCTGATATATGCTGATAACTCAGAAGAACTGGGACATTGATACTCTATAGTAATAATAGTAAGAATGTACATATGAACTGAAAACCAAATAACTGTGGGTTGTCTCTAAATAGGGTGATTGGACCAGGCCTACAATAGGCAAGAAGGGAATTTCCTTCAACAAACAAATGAAGGCTCTACAGAACTAGCCAAGTCTATAGGCAATCACATAAGGGATTTTTTCCATTTGACTGTTATGACAGCACGTTTACTTATGTGTTGGTCAATATTGCAAAACTATTGCATAGTTTGGATGAGAAAAAGAAAACATTTCAGTGGTCAATAGAGAGAAATTAATGCTTTCAGAGTTGGAAAAGGTTCCTATACCTTCTTCTTTCAAGATTTACCTACCAATGTTTAAAATGCCTTGTGAGAAAGGAAACAAACAAACAAACAAACAAAAACCCAACACTTTATTTTTGAAACTGTAGCTGTAATGTCACAAAGACAATAAGTGTCTGGTAGCTTAGTAATGTAGAATTCTAACTCCTTTAGAAAAGGCATCACCTGAGTGGAACTCCTTCCAGGACTGTACGTGTATAGGAAGGTCCAGTCCCTATATGAGAGAGTGGGAAGAGCTGGTCTCAGATGGAGCAGGAATTTTGTAATCAGAAGAGACAACGTTTACCTGAAGTAGTGTATTAGAAACAGGATTCTTAAAGATCAGCTTGAGAGTCAATCAGAAAAGCTACCAGCAATTTTCTCACTACACAAATGCAAACAGGCAGACCTGAGCCAAGGCCTGGAAATA